CTGAAAGCAAGTGTTCCACTGATTAATTGTTCTCACTGTCAGGATATTTCTCCTTAGTTCTAATTGGAACTAGGTTGGAATTGATGGCACATAATCAATCTTTGGCTATGACCCAATCATTAGAGTCAACAGCCAGTTGATTAGACTGATATTCATTTAGACAAATAGAATTATTGTAGTTGTTTTTATTACTTATTATTCTTCGAGGCAGAAATGAAAACGCCCAGCTAGGATAGTAGATGCAACTTGTGCCAAACTATGTATTGAAACAGTTGATCATACATTAAATGAATACAGCAAAATTGCATAGCTTAGTTTTAAAAAAAAGACATTAAGAAGTTGGGAAAATACTGCACTGACTTTTATGTTGGAAGTGCCAATTTACAGTCAATAAGAATTACTGGAAGCGTGAAATCACATATAAAGTCCTTGGAAATGAGACCAAAAGTTATGGGATTTTAAAATTCAGACAGGTTGATACCTAGGACAGAGCACACTTTATTGCTGAAGTCATTGCAAGAGACAGTAATGTTGAAGACAAGGAATTGGAAAGGTTACAAAATACAAAGAACTGCAAATAGGGACAGGAAAAATGGGAAGAAAATGCTAGTGATGCCAATTATTGTTGGGATAGTAGATGCTGTGTCACAAAGACTTGGGATGGTTTTGGACTGCTTAAATTAGGAAAAACTCTAACTCCAACTAAACAAAATCACAAACGAGTATTTCATAATTAGATACCACTTTCCATGATTCTCAAATCCTGAAATAGCTCTGAAATTATATGAGTAGCTCTGAAATTATATGAACAAAAAAACTGGCCAGCATTGACTATGACTCTTGATTAGTAAAATTGGAGTTTAATGTGTTGTAATATTAATTAAAATAATTACTCTAGCTCTAGCAAAAAGTCTGAAGAGATTCTCAGTCATCCAGGTCATGGTTGTCCCAAAGGTGCTTTTTCAGAAGGCACCTGGAATTCCTTGTTTTTCTTTTTGAAAACGTTTCACTTCTCATCCAAGAAGCTTCTTCAGCTCTGACAGGATAGTGGGGAATGGAAGGATTTATATTCCTTGCAGACAGCTAGTCATTTGCATCATTTTAGAGGGTCACTGAAGCACTTGGAGGTTTATCTGTGTCCTCAGGAGGTCACCTGAGTAATGCTTAGAATATAAATCCTTCCATTCCCCACTATCCTGTCAGAGCTGAAGAAGCTTCTTGGATGAGAAGTGAAACGTCATCAAAAGAAATTATAAAGTCCAATTGCCTCCTGAAAAAGCACCTTTGGATCTAGGACTAGTAGTCTGAGACTTGCCTTCATTAATATCAACCAGGCTGCATATTTTTTTAGTTGTATCTCTGCCAAGGGTAGGTTTAAGCATCATAAATTTTAAAAATATTTATTTATTTATTTATTTATTTATTTATTCATTCATTCATTCATTCATTCATTCATTCATTCATTCATTCATTTATTTCCAAGGGTAGGTTTAAGCATCATAAATTTTAAAAATATTTATTTATTTATTTGTTTGTTTGTTTGTTTGTTTGTTTGTTTGTTTATTTATGGATGGGTGGATGGATGGATGGATGGATGAATGAATGAATTATCCTCTTCCCATTGTTCTCCCACTGAATTTGCTATTGAAAGTAGAAGGGAAATTGCTTTACACATTGTAAAGCTGAGTGTGATGTTCTTTCACTTTTGTTGCGATGAAGCATTCATTCAACATGCGGGTGGGTGTAGGTGCTGTGACTATGTCAATTATTTTCCACCTCCCTGACTGTTAGGAACTGGAACTGGAACTGGAAAATCATTAAGTATCTATGAAATTAAAAGGCCCTTGGCCAAGTAAGGAATGGCAGAGAAATAAGTCATACCGGTCAAAGAAGCCCATCTGTCTGGGGTAGCCTATCTGAATCTGACCATTTTTATTAGCTTTTTATCCATTCCATATAGTGCCTTCTCAAGTCATGCATTTATAAATAATTGAGTTGCCCTTTGTATCTTCTGCTCTGTTCCTGCCCTGCCTTTACATTGCCTAATATAAAAGCTGGATCTGGCAAGAGACATTCTCTTCGCCTTTTTGAATAAACTTACCGAGTGTCAAAATTTCATAAGTATCTAAAAATTCTCTTCAGTTATCTTTGAAAATCCTCATTTCTCTGAGTTATGCAATGCCTTCCTTGGGCATAAAAGAATATAAAAGTGCATATACTGAGAGAGAAATAGTAGCAATAACACTTAGACTTATATACCACTTCGTAATGCCTTGCAGCCCTCTCAAAGTGGCTTACAGAGTCAGCATATTGCCCCCAACAATCAGTCTCCATGAATCTGTTGCAATAGCAATAGCACTTAGACTTATATACCACTTTACAGTGCTTTACAGCCCTCTCTAAGCAGCTTACAGAGTCAGCATATTGTCCCCCAAAATTTGGGTCCTCATATTACCAACCTCGGAAGGACGGAAGATTGAGTCAACCTTGAGCCTGGTGAGATTCGATCTGCCAAATTGCAGTAAGCTGGCAGTCAGCAGAAGTAGCTTGCAGTACTGCACTCTAACCACTGTGCCACCAAGCAATAGCAATGCAAATGCCATTACTGAGGGAGACTTGGGAATTTCCCTGGGAAATTTTTGGATCCTGTTTCCTTCTGGAGAAATTATGAAAAGTTCTGCACTCAACTTCTCTCCCCAAACGTCAGGTGTAGAGTTTTCAAATGCCATTTGTGCCTGGTGCATAAAATCTACCCCTAGTTACTGGTTACCAGTTCTTAGTCACATACTCCCCCTGCACTTACGATGACAAGAAGCTCTCATTCGGGAGTATAGTAAGATCCTGTTAAATTCCTCTCTACCCATACATGGATACATTCCTGATCTCTTAAGATGCCGATTAAAGTCAAGAAATCCACCAATCTTGACAGTGCGTAAGTTGATGGCCGATCATCAGAACACCACACAAAAGTGGATGGAGGCATGGAATAGCTGTTCCCCCCAAGATGTCTCCGAGCATATCAGTCCTAGTAATATACCTCCAGGATTTAGCCTACCCCGACACATATGGGTGACATATAATAGAATTAGAACAACTCATGGGGTGTGTGCTGACTCCCTGTATAAATGGGGAAAGACACCTTCAGCACAATGTGATTGCGGGGGGCCCCGACAGACTATCCAGCACATAGTGAGGGAATGCCCTAACAGAAGGTATCCAGGAGATTCTAGGGACTTCCTCTGCATAACAACGGCAGCTACTGACTGGATCTCCAAACTCGACATTAAACTTTGAAATGTTATTTCTGTTTTCCTTTTAGGTTTTCTTATTGCTTTCTTATTGCTTTAATTGTTTTTAACCTGTAAAAATGAAGTGTTTTAATACTGTGTGTGACCAACCATACGCTAAATAAATGTGTCTGATTCCTGGGAATTTGGGTCAGTAGAGTTTTCTACCAGCATTACCAAGGATTATGACATGAATATAATTTTCATCCCTGGAACTGCATTGTGCCGAGGACACAATACTAAATTACAAATTTTCAAAGAAAGTTTCTCTGTTTCTAGTCCATCCCATCAAATGGAAGTTTCTCTCTTCATCTTTGGGAGATGTTATCTTGTAGCAGATTCACAATTTGAAGCTTAGCAGATAATAGTTGGCACATATTTGTGTTATCCTTCTTCTCTAATTGTTGTGCCTTTCTAGAGGAACTATGTTTGATATTTTTAACTGTAGTTTTACTCAAAGCTAAAACTGCCTAAAGAACTGCCTTTGTATTACAGAAGTGGAACTGAATGGATGTACTTATTCAGAAAATGTAAACATTTATTTCTTCTTAACAATTTTAACAGCAACACAGCAATAACAATATTCATAAAACACTTATAATAATACACACTAATGGGAGACAAACCATTAAACTGATTTGCCCTTGAGTGCGGCGGCCATATTATTAGCGATAATAGTTTGCATAACTATATCACAGTGACCCTGAAATGATTATGGATATGAAATAAAAATAAACTTTTTTTTTAACCGTAATGCTACTTTCAGAGCAGAATAATTGAAATGCACTTTACTTCCCAGTCTCTCTCTCTTTTCTGGTGTCTGAGAGGTAACTGAAGTATGTACTGCTCTAATTCTAACAGACCAACAGAGAGAGATAAAGTAAAGCAATGAAACATGATAGTTGCCTTTCTTTCCCTTTTTTTAAAAAAAAGAAAATTAATCTAATACTTTAAATTTATTCTCCTGCAATAGTCATTGATTTGATAGCACTTTGGTATCTTCCAATTACTAGTTGCCATTAAATCACGCTTTGCTCTTAATTTAGAAGACATTTTCAACTAGAAATAAGCACTAATTGATCAGTTTTTATAATAAATTGCATCAACTTCAACTGTGACTTAATCCATCATGTGTCTCTTTCTTTTAAATGGTTGAGTTTAATTTGATGGCCTAGTTTAGATTTATTTTCTTCAAGACAGCAGGAGAGTGGGAGCTGGAATCTCTAAAATCATAATTATGTTTCTGTCAAGTGGCATGTTGTGAGTCCTCACCCAGTGCCAGCCTGACAAAAATAGCACCTTCCCCCATAAAACCACAATATTTATCAGCTTCCCTGCACATCACTGATATTAGTCAATTTGGTCCAGTGGTTAAGGCACCAGTGTAGAAACCAAGAGACTATGGGTTCTAGTTCATCCTGAGGCATGAAAACCAGCTGGGTGACTTTGGGCCCATCACCAGGAGACTGAGAGTTCTAGTCCTGCCTTAGGTATGAAAGCCAGATGAGCGACCTTGGGATAGTCACTCTTTTTCAGGCTACTCACCTTACAGGGTTGCTGTTGTGGAGAAAATATGAGGAAGCAAGAATATTAGTTATGTTCATTGCCTTCTGGAAAAATTCTGAAAAATTATCCTCCCAATTTCTGGGATAAATGTCTGTGTTTCCATAATGATGTTCAGCACAAGTGACTGGATTCCATTTTTCTCTCCAGCTGTTGTCAGTGCCATCCCAGTGCCAACACTAGAAAGTGCCCAGTATCCAGGAATCCTGCCATCCCCCACTTGTGGATATCCACACCCTCAGTTTACTCTCCGTCCTGTGCCATTCCCAACACTTACAGTTGAACGGACCTTTGGAACAGGGAGAAGTAAGTAGATCCTTGCTTGATTCTAACTTCAGTAGGGTGGAGAAATAGTTAAGACACAGAAACCACAAGGCAATCTGTCTCGAAAACTGATTGAGACAGAGATGACTCCTTCCTTGAACCATAGGAAGAGGTGGAAGAGGAGGAAGGAACAGTCTTGCATTTGGAGGTAAGTGCTTATTTTGGAGATGTGAAGGCTGGCTGAGAAATTAACCATCCTTCCTTCTCTACATCTTTTATAATAATAATACGAATGGGTTGCATGATGAATTCTACTGATTTCTTACCTTTTATCACACGAGAAACATCTTAAATATGGAAAGTCCTCATTCTTCATTCCATCACCAGCACCTCCATTACTAATTAAATGCAACTTCAACTAAACTTCTACTAAAATCCTTGCAACTCCAGGCTTCCCTAGTTTTTCCAGCAATTGGTTAGATATTTCAAATTGTCCATGATATTTTATGTCAGATTTTGCTTCAGTTGTTTCTAATATTCTTATCTTTTCCCCCTTAATGGACATGTTAGCATAATATGACTTAAAACCTAGAACTATGTTCACACTTCCTGGTTTGTCTTACAAACAATGGGGACAAATAATGCAAGCAGGGTATTGCTATAATATGGCTTAATATATTCAACATTCTTCCAGTTTTGCCGTGTTGCTGCATTGTTGTGCGGGGGTAGGTGCTGTGACTATGTCAATTATTTTCCACCTCCCTGACTATTAGGAATTAGGAAAACCATTACGTATCTATGAAGTTAAAAGGGTGCCCTATTAGGTTTAGCTCTTGGTCAAGTAAGGAATGGTAGAGAAATAAGTCATACCAGTCAAAGAAGCCCATTTGTCTGAGGCAGCCTATCTGAATCTGACCATTTTTATTAGCTTTTATCCATTCCATATAGTGCCTTCTCAAGTCATGCATTTACAAATAATTGAGTTGCCCTTTGTATCTTCTGCTCTGTTCCTGACCTGCCTTCACATTGCCTAATATAAAAGCTGGATCTGGCAAGAGACATTCTCTTTGCCTTTTTGAATAAACTTACTGAGTGTCAAAATTTCATAAGTATCTAAAAATTCTCTTCAGTTATCTTTGAAAATCCTCATTTCTCTGAGTTATGTAATGCCTTCCTTGGGCATAAAAGAATATAAAAGTGCATATACTGAGAGAGAAATAATAGCAATAGCATTTATTTATTTATTTATTTATTTATTTATTTATTTATTTATTTATTTATTTATTATATTTCTATACCGCCTTTCTCCCATAGGACTCAAGGCGGTGTACAGTCAAGAAAAATATAGATACACAAACATCATAAAATTGCTAATTAAAATTATTATTATAACATAGTTTGGCCCAATTAAATAGAACTTAAAATTAGATAACATTTTATATTATTATAGATGGTATATACTTAGATTTATATACCACTTCATAATGCTTTGCAGCCCTTTTGAAGTGGCTTACAGAGTCAGCATATTGCCCCCAACAATCAGTCTCCATGAATCTGTTGCAATAGCAATAGCACTTAGACGTATATACCACTTTACCATGCTTTACAGTCTCTCTAAGTGACTTACAGAGTCAGTATCTAAAAATTCTCTTCAGTTATCTTTGAAAATTCTCATTTCTCTGAGTTATGTGATGCCTTCCTTTGGGGATAAAAGAATATAAAAATGGATATACTGGGAGAGAAATAATACAGTAGCAATAGCACTTAGATTTATATACCACTCCATAATATTTTCCAGCACTGTCTGAGTAGTTTACAATGTCACCATATTGATCCAACAATCTGGATCCTCATTTTCCATCCTCAGAAGGATGGAAGGCTGAGTCAACCTTGAGCCAGTCAGGATCAAACTCCTGGCAGTGAGCAGAGTTAGCATTCTAATCTCCCCCCTCCCTCCCTCCCCCCCCTCTCCTATGAGTGTTGGGCTTTCAGATTGTGAAGGGGAAAGAGGAAAATGACTATATTAACAGAAATGAACAGAAATGTTTGTGTGCATCTGTTTTTAATTCTCAGATAGTTATAGAACCTCAACAAGAATGAATTAACTTAAGATTGGAAATAAGGGAGAAACAGAAAGAAACTAACACTGACATCTTTCTGCTTTGAAAAATCAGATATTTTGCCCTTTCTATACCTGTTTATCAGGGAAAGAGTAGCGAGAAGCACATGACCAATTTTTAAAAATCTTAAAAACTGTTCTTTCCTTCTGAAGGAAACTCTAGCAAAAGTTCAAATGTATTTTTATTTATTCTTGATTGTCTATAGCCTTTACCTTAATCATAATCATAATCATAAGTTTATTTGTCAAGCGTATGTAAGATAACAGGTAAAAGTATAAACATAATTTGAATACATGAAAAGAGTAAGTAAAAAAGGAATATTAGGACAGGGATGGTAGGCACGGTGGTGCACTTATGCACGCCCCTTACAGACCTCTTAGGAATGGGGTGAGGTCAACAGTAGACAGTTTAAGGTTAAAGTTTTGGGGGTATGGGAAGAAACTACAAAGTCAACCATTTTTGCATTTGCAACCATTCAAAGGAGGGGTAAGTCTTTTTCCTTCCACTTGACAAACTGTGAACTGGGAGAATGATTATTCTCCTGATTAAATTTCTCCAGTTGTTGCCAATGGTACACCTTGTGTCTGGACTCCTTTCCCTCTTAAAGCATGATGTGCTCATAAGCAATCAGAGGAAAACAATGTTGTGAAGTTTCCGAAAAATGCCCTAATTAATTCATGAACCATGAGCCAAACTTCAAAAGAAATACAGTCATTTATTAGGACCACCATTTCGGCAATATTCAGATGCAGTTAGAACTAATCCCACGTAGATTTACGTTCCCCTATGACCCTATCTCTCCCCTCCTCCCTGGCCATGTCATAAATCACATTCTCCAATTAACCACTTTGGTTGGCTGTGAAACCCAACACCCTCCTACTGATTGCAGTAAGAAAGCATCTATGGAATGCAGCTTCAGTTATGGAAATCAATCAGCTCTATCAGTTCTCCCTCCCTCCTGCTCATGGCAACTTGAAAGCTTTGCAAGTTGACACATGTATTATCATTGACATGTAACAAACTCATCAAGTAAGTGCTTTTCTTACTTTCCCCATGCTTGGTTAGAGACTACTTCAGGAATCCCAAAAGAGTTCACCCTGAACTTTACACTATATCTTTTTCCTGCCTTTGATGCCCTGCTAAACCTACACACAAAGATTTTTCTGAAAAGAAACAACATCGATATTTTTGAAGTCTCTGTCACATTAGATGTTCCAATGCAAACCAGCAGCAACAATGTTTGACCTTGATTGAAATGTGACACCTGACACCTGAAATAAATGTAGGAATTAAAATTGAATTAAAATGTAAAATTAAAATATAGAACAGATGTTGAGGCCTTGGAAAGAGTATGGGGAAGAGCAACAAAGATGTTAAGGGGACTAAACTGCATGATGAATGATTGAGGGAACTAGGTGTGTCTAGTCCAGGCCTGTCAAAATGGTGGCCTGGGGGCCGGATATATCACGTGCAGGCCACGCCCATCCCATCTCCGCAAAGGCAAAAAACATCATGATACATCATGATCTGACCTGTGACACGATCCAGTTTGACACTCATGGTCTAATAGAAGGATTAAGTGTTCTAATATTTGATGGTTACTGAGAAAGAAGAGGGGTTCAACCTCACAAAGAAGCGAGATCCAACCTAAAACTGAGGAGAAATTTCCTGACAATAAGAACAATTCATCAGTAGAATGGCTCACCTCCAGAGGTTGTGGATTCTCCATCACTGGAGGCTTTCAAAAAGAGCCTGGGTAGCCATTTGTCCAGAATGATATAGGGTCTCCTGCTTTGGACTTTGGACTAGAAAACCTTCAAGATCCTTTCCAACACTCTTATTCTATATTCTAAATGGCTTAGTAAGTTATTCCAGACTGATATAGCAAATGCCATGGTCCAAGGAACCAGTGACTAGATTTAAAAATGGTAGCGGGAGTATGAAACTGTGCGGATTAAAAACTTGGCCGTGAAGAGTTATCAAGGGGAAAGATGTAGTCCTGGTGTCTTTCCAAATTGCAGAAGAAAACTCAAAGTGGCCAAAATCAGGTCAAGCTGGAGAAACCAATGGCTAAAAACAGTGATTTTATAAATTCATTTGCAAAGCAGTGGCACCAGGGCTGGGTTCTACTTACCTTTACTACCTGTTGGCAACAGGATCGTGCACGCGCACCGAGCTTCTGCGCATGCGCAGATCACCTATGATGATATCCGGGGAGGTGGGTACGCTCAAATGCAGAAGGGGAAACATTTCTCCTTTTGTTTTGTTTTTAGCTAGCCCTCTACCAGTGAAAATGGAGGCTCCCCTGTTGGATGCTTATCCTACGGTTGGGTAGATAATATATAGAAAACTATGTTCTGTAACTTTAACTGCTACGAAGATGACTAATTGGCTGTGCTAAGCAGACATAAAAGGAAGGCAGGAAGTTCGCTCACTTCTGCTCTTGCTTCTGCTTCTGCTCCTGCTCCTGCTATTAGAAGGTTGAACTGCCGGAAGGAACTGTGTCTGTGTTTGAAGAGAACTGGAATTGTAAGCAAACTATGTTTTGTGTTAAACCGTGATTGTTTGAAGAAGTTGTTTTGAGAAGCCAAGTTTGTTTTTATACTACAAGTAAAGACTGTTTATTTTTCTTTAAACGTTCAGAGTCTGTGACTATCTGTGTGTTTTGCTAAGCATCGTATCTATTCACTGTCTGGTCCGCTGCACTACTTTGCAGAGGGCAGTTTTACCCTCAACACCCCCCTCCCCCCGAGCTCCATTTTCACTGGCAGAGGCACCATGGGCCGGTCCTTTGCTGTTTCCAGGCCAGCCCTGCAGGCCAGATTTAAACATCCCACAGGCCGGATCCGGCTCTTGGGCCTTGAGTTTAACACCCCTGCACTAGATAAATGCAGCAGACATTTTTAACCTAAGTTGCTGAGA